GTGTGCATGAATCCCTCAGGACGGTGACGCTTGAGAGAGGCAAGAGGAGGAATAATCCCTGTGATCTATCCTGGACCCTGGAGACTCAGAAAAAAGCACAGCTGCCTGCCGTGTTCCCTTCTCTCTTCGCTGGAATCTCTCCCTAGCAACTAGGCATTAGCGTGGTGATTGGACCAGCGTACCCATGGTTACTATGGCTAACAGAAGCTCCCCCTTCCTGATAGTAGCCAGAGTCTCACACATATTGTCCACCCTGCTCTCCCCACTGACCACACACACACACAGTGGGATCTGGCTGTCAGTTTGCATTTTGTCAGCAGTTCCAGTGGGAGAGAGGCCATTTCTGGCAGTTGGCTGGAGAGGTAAGGTACACACACACACACACTGTCCACTCTTGTCTCCCCCACTGACGCACACACACACACACACACACACACACACACACTTTTCTTTCTGTGCTGTTTCTTTCTGTTTCATCTCATAATTTTTCCTTTCTTTTTCTCTTTATTCCTCACACTATTTGTCTCTTCCTTCTGTTACACCCACTATCTTTTCTCTATCTCATTCTCCCCCTTGCCTTCATAGATCAGAACAGTGGTACAGTACAGTAACAGTAGGCTGATATTATTAACGCCATGGTTGAGTGATGGGGGATAATGACATCCAAGGCGAGGCTGGATTGACTGAAACAGGTCTGTAGAAAAAGAGAAACAGATGTTGCAATTTAACAGGAGCCCTGGTGAGAATAGCAGCTGGAAATGGAGCATTAGTAGAGCAATCAAGTATTTATCTGCCCTATCTGTGCACATATATCTACTATTTCTTTTAGCACTGTTTTATGAGAGAAATCTGTTTTGTCTGAAAATAAATATCTACTGGGAGCAGCTTGGCAATTTCTGTGCGAATCTGTCTGTGTTTGCATCTGTCTCTGTCTGTGCTTGTACATTTATTTCTTTCTCTGCCTCTGTGTTCTTTGTTAGCATGTGAGTTGACTTTCACAAGAACCATTTGCCTCTGATGTGTGTGCTAGCTTTGCGCTTGTGCCAATGTCAGGTCTCGTTGTTTCTGTTGGAATCTTAAAGTGCCAATTATGCTTCAGAGACAGGGTAAATGTGGTCACTATGTCATTAGGCCAGTATGCACAAGTCAGCCCGTCTGCTGGTAATAAAACACCACATCATCCATATACTACAGCTCACTGCTTCACTGAGAAGTGCTGTGGGATCCATATAATCCACACACACACACACACACACACACACACATACACACACACACACACACACACACCGCCTTCTCTGTGTCTGGAGCCGATGCATCAATCTGAGGGTTGGCTTCTATCTTCAGCATTTTCCATAGACTTTTTTTCTCAAGCTGATTGCATGGCTGCTTTTCAGGCTACAATCAGCTGCCGTATAATGGGTTCAAATGAGAGCTTAAACGCACATGATTAGTGATCTGTTGTTCTTCTGACTAATGCAAGAGAGACAAATTATGATAATGTGGCATCTAGAAGATCATGTGGCTGGAGGAAGCGGGGAGGACAAAATGATAGACAGGATGCAGGTACAGTATGTATTTATATCTGCTGAGTGAGTGTGTGTTCTCCAAAGTCTCTCTGAGTGTGTCTGATTGTTGGGTATTACCAGTGTTTCCAGGGGAAAGGGGCATAGGAATAAAGAAAGTCAAGGTTTTTCAGTAGAAATTAACTGTGGCATGCACAATATCATTGGACAAGGTCAATAACCTGAGTAAGCAAAGAATGAAATCAAACAGTGAGACAAGCCCCAGTTCATTAACACGTGCAACAGATATGGAAATAGGCTGCTGAGTGCAGCTTGTCACTCTGGTGCAATCGTACAAGACAGTTTACCCATTAGCCTCCATATCGCGCAGCCCGCATGCCACTCTCATCCTGTCCCAAGACGAGAAATTGATTTCATGCTTGGGTGAATGTCATCAGGAAAAAGGGGGGAAAACAAGACAAAAGAACCAAAGGGAGGGGGAACAACTAAAAGGAGATACAAAAGAGAGATGGAAAGAAAATATAAAAGTTCCATGTTAAACCCAGTTATTTCATTCACAACCATTCAGCCTAAGAAAATGTACATGTACAGAGGAACTAATGAAAAGCAGGAAATAGAGAATTGATGGAGTTCATGAAATTCAGCAGAACATGCAACATGCTTGTGTGTGAGGGTGGGGTTTACAGACTGGATAATAAAAGCATTAGGAGATTGCTGGTCCATTCAGGAGAGCATAGAGTCTGGCTGCACAATAGTGCCCCATTGACTCATGGGATGTGAAGATCCGTCTGGAACATGAGGTGGGATGGCTATGTATTTAATATGATGCTGACAGTTTTCTATTACTGTAATGCTGCTGGGAGTGAAGTGGGTGAGAGAGAGAGGAAGAACAGATTCAGACTGGTATTACACTGAATGATGATGTAATGTTTAAGCGACACAACCCGCACCCCCATCCCCCTCTTCTTCTCTTTTCTGCTCGCTTCCTGTGTTCACCTCCCTTCTTCTGTGGGGGCACAGAACAGAGCCTTCTGATTGGTTAATAGCACCACAGAGATGCTGAGAATATCCACCAACCAGGGCCCAGGTGCCCCTTCACACCGTTTCCACAGCAACCCCTCACAACCACAGTGAGCGTGCACACATGTATGGGTGCACCTGCTCATATGCATGAGTGCATGTGTGCACTATAAGCTTG